GGGACCCTGGGGAAGCACGGTAGTGCTTCTTATTCTTCTGCCTTCTGACTCTTGATCTCAAGAATTCCCCCCCATCCCACCCCCTGGGGACTGAACTCAGAGCCTTCCCACTGAGCTACATCCCTATCCTTATTAAAATTTCTTCACTTTGAAACAGGATCTTCAGTTGCTTGCTAAGTTGTCCAGGCTGGGCTTGAACCTGTGGTCCTCCTGCATCAGCCTCCCAGAGTGCCCCAGTCCATTCTCCTCAGAGGATAGGGTAGAGGTGGGACTGGCTTTTCTAGCTCACCTAACAGCACCGTATGTGAGCAACTTAATTCCACCCAGGGAGGACCTGAGGGTGCCCTGTTAGTGTGCAGGGAGGGGGAGTATGAGGTTCATCTCACTCCAGGATAGCTCGCCTTTTACTTCTACTCCCCACACTCCTCTCCAACTCTGGTTTCCTGTTGCTTTATTTTTTTCCTTTAAACTCTGAGGTTTTGATTCCACATCACAGACACTGTGTGTATTTTTCTTTTTCTACTCAACCTCCAAATCAATAACTGGCCTAATGCAATCAAAATAAATCAAATGTGCTTCTGGCTTTCTCTGTTTCTTCTGAAACAAGGAAGCACGGATAGCTTTTTCTGGAAGTGAGAAAATTCCATGCCCAGCTCCCGAGGCAATGCGGCAGGGGGCTTAACCAGGAGGTCTTTGAGCCCAGGCAGGTTTCAGGACTGTGAGCCACCACCCCACTCACAGGAACATCATGCTGCTAATCAGCACGGGGAGGGTTTTGGTTTGGTTTGGTGTTGGGTGCTGGGGAAGGGATCCGGGGCCTCATACCCATCTGGCAGATGCTCTGCCACTGACCAGCACCCACCCACCATTTATTTGTTTTGGGACAGCGCTCCCTCCCTGCCCAGAGGTTGCATAATTGCTGTGCACACTCTGACTTCTTAGACGAAGAGGCTGCACTGCCAGACATTGCAGGAGGAACTGCCATCCAGAGGCCTGGAGCCTGATCAGCCACACTTGGAATGTAGATTGCTGCACGTGTCTTGTTCCACACAAATAAGGGGAGAGGAGAAGAATCCTAACTACTGTTACTCTCTGATGTCCACACTTCCTACAAACTGCCCTGTTGTCCTGGAAACACAAGAAAAGATTCTGTCTTGGTCATCCTGGGGGTGGAGGGGGGTTGCAAACACAAAGTCAACTGTCACAGTGTTGACCCTATGGTTCAAATAAGTGAGACAGGGCCATCGATCACCTAGAAGGGAAGCTGGTACATAGCAGGTGCTCATTAAAGGGACACTGTCTACACCAGCCTTGTCCCTTTGTATCACTGAGGAGGGTAGTGGCTTCTAGGAAGAAGGGCTGGGGGCTCTGAAGCCTTGGCCTCAAACCCAGGCAGGAAGCACTTTCTGACAGAGACAGAGGTGACAAAATACAACAGCGATAGAATTCAAGTCCTAGCCACTCCCTCTGTGCTCCAAAGCATCTCCACATTATTTCCTGAATTGCCCCTAAAGGTGTGTGAGTCAACAAGTGGCCTCTGCCTGCAGCTTCAGCTCCATCAAGAAGCATTGACCCACAGGGAGATAAATATTGACCACATCCAGAGAGATGTCAGTGCTGCCCTGGGCAAATACAGCTTAGTATTCACCAGATCTGCAGACGCCAGGCCTAATTTTTTTGGGGGTGTACTGGGGATCGAACTCAGGTCCTTGCACTTGCGAGGCAGATGGCAGAACCACTGAGCTAAATCCCTGGCCTAGGCCTGATAGTTTTGACTCCAAACTGCTGTTCAGAGGCCCAGTGGAGGTCAGCTCTTCTCTTCATTGTGAGCTGTTATCCATGTACACTAAATACCCAAATACACTTGTTCCTAGAAAATTAGGTTTAAAATATTTTCAACATCTTCCTATCTTCAATGATTAAAGGATAATTTGGTATTTGAAGAATTGTTATTGGAAATTGTCCCATAAAATAAACAATCCTTTTGAGTTGCATATAACTGCCCCTACCTATTTTTTGTGAAAATGAAGAATTTCCCATGCCAAGTCAATGATGAAAACTTGTGATCAGAGGCAGTTGTTTTTGAAAATGCTCTTGAATCCAATCTTTTGATAAGTGGCAGGAAACTGCTTATGACAGCATTTTGTATCCAAGATTTCCACAGTGATTTTTGTTTCTGTTTAATGGGTAAAGAAGAGGTGGGGGCCCCCTGGGCTGTACACTGGAGTAGATTGCTTAATTCAAGGTTGCTGACACTCTCTTCCCTAGGAGGATGTAGAAGTCTGTCATTTCTCCAGATCGAGTTTTTGTATCCTCATATGCAAAAGTGGTGGGGGAGGGAGGAATCTTATTTCGAAAACCAAATATAAGAGCATGAAGAAGGCACTAACCAACAGAATCCCAAGAGCCTGCCTTCTGCAGTATGTGCACATTTTAGCAGCGCTTAGATTATCTCTCTCGTGCTTCATACACAAACTGCTGGACAATATTAGCAACACAACCACAGTATGACTGAAAACTAGAAATGTCAGATAAATCTCTATGCATCCTGGTTGACATCAAGGGATTAGGGAATAGATAAGAAAAGAGAATGGACAGCTTTTTCTTGGGGAAGAATTACAAGTGGTAACCACAGAAGGATTGGGGGGAGCAGGAAGTCACCATCTTCACAGGCAAAGGCACCAATGAATGCAAAATCAGTGGGAAATTTTCAGGGAAAACTAGAATATTTTCACAGCCTTAAACAGACCTCCCCTAAAATAATCGTTAATTACTGTGGTGGCTTTAATACGTCACAATTCTCGATCCTTATCCTTTGGGAGGTGGAATGTGTCTCACCTCACTCTGCACTTGACTGATGGACTGGCTTCCAGCACATACAGCATAGCAAGGAAAAAGTAGACATTTACAGGAAAAGAGTTTGATGGCTGTGACCTTAACCGTGGGCTGAGAGGGACACCACACTAACAAGATACATAGCTGTCCCCTCTCAGCCTCAATTTTATTTTCCAAAGTTTCAGCTACCTGTAGTCAACCTCAGCCTGAAAAATAGTGAAAGGAAATTCCAGAAATAAACAAATCATAAGGTTTAAATGACTGAATTTTAAACCACTCTTATAGAAACCTGAAAGCCCATGTTCACAAGGGATGACTGGAAGATACAGTGAATGTTTAAATAATAAAAAAAAACCTATTACTGTAAAAGGCAGATGGCCAAGAACAAAGAGGTGTATTCAAAGCAAGGGGGAGCATCTTGAACATTTTGAGGGGGATTAATAAAATTTTATTGTAACAATTTTTAAAATTTAAACAATTACTGTATTTTTGATCACTTCTCATTGATCAAAAATTTACAGAAACTTCTGTCAAATAAAAACATGACACCGTGTCCTCATCCAGCCTTATTCACTGGATCTGATACCATGGGACATCTGGCTTTTCCCCAGAGTCAAAGTGATCATGAAAAAGAAACGTTTTCCATCAGTTCAGGACATTAGAGTAGCACAACTAAAGATACTCATGAAAGAGGACTTCCAGAACTGCTTCAGAAAGTGGCAAGAGCCATGGGATAAGTGCATCCTAAGTGAAGGGGAAAATTCTGAAGGCAATTCATGGCATGTGTCTTTTACCGTTATGCATTTTTGAAAATGTAAAATTCTGTGTATTTTTGGTCACACCTCATGCAGTGGCACTGCTAACAATGGTGAAGAAACAGGATTGACCTAGGTAGCAGTCATGAAGTAGAGATAAAGCAAAGATGGCTCCTGTGCACGCTGGGGCAATTATCCAGCCATGCAGGAGAATAAAGTCCTGTCATTTGCAAGAAAATGAATGAAATCGGAAGACATCGTGTTAAGCAAAACAAGGCAGGCACAGAAAGCCAAGTATCGCAAATTCTCTTTCATGGCAGAAACTAAGGGAAAGAAGATGCCCTGCAAGTGGAAGAGCAAGAGTGGTTACTGGGGATTGGGAAGGAGGGGGTGAGGGCCGAAGAAGAGTGAATGGTCGGGATCTGTGCATGATGCATGCGTGTATGGAAATGTCACAGTGAGTCCCAGTGATGAGCACAACTAATGTGTTAATATAATAAAGAATAATTATATTACATTGCTGTAACTATTCTATTCTGTTGTTGTTGTCATTAATCTCTCACTGTGCCCCATTTATAAATTCAGCTTTATCATAGGTACGGACGTGTATATGGATGGGAGAACAAAGCCTGCTCGATGGTGATGTTCAGCACTGTTTGTGGTTTCAGGCATCCACTGGGAGCCTCAGGGGGCATCCTGTGTGGCGGGAGCCACGGTTCAAATATGATGAGCCCAGGACCATGCAACAGCAAGGAAGCTTCTTCACCTCTGTCTCGGTGTTGTTCTTCCCCCAGATCCACACCCTCATTTCTAAGCATCAGCAAAATCCAAATTTGGGACATGCTGAAAATGACTGGCTCCTTTTTAAGAGTTGTCAATGACATGAAGAAAGGGAGGGAGGGAGGAAGGGAGGAAAGGAGGGAGGGAGGGAGGCAGGGAAGAATGGAGGGAGGGAGGGAGAGGGTAACAGTAAGGCATCAGTGTCAATGTCCTGGCTGGGTAGAGACACCATGGCTCTGTAGATGCCAAGGTGCAGAGGAGAAGGGAGGAGGGATGTGGAACTCTGTGCTATCTTGCACCTCTTCTGCAAATCTAAAGTAATCTCAAGGTGAAGACAGTCCCTTCAGAGTGAGTTAGCAGAGGAAGTGATACAAACTGATCCATTTTCTAATTTCTACATTTCTGAGTGTGACTTTTCCCCCCTTGGCTTTGAAAGGTAGCATTTAGAATCCCATTTGGATTTTTGAAAAGTCACTCCAGCAACTGGGTGGGGGACTCAAAGAATCTCACCTAGGAGGGAGAACACCTAAGTTTGGGGACAAAGGTACCAAGAACTTCCAGCATGCTGTGAGTCACCCTGTTCGGCCCTGAGGGGTGTACAAGGCTCGACAGCCCAGCACGGTCACTTACCAGGGCACCCTTCCTCTGTGGCTTCAGGAGCTTTGGCCTGTGGAAGGAGGTAGCAACGGGAGCTGCAGGAGAACATGAGAGGTTTAAGTTGTTCCTCTCCCTCCTGGATCCCCCTAACAGTTCACCTGCCATGAGCATCACACACATGCTGTGCTCTGCATGGGCTGCAGACCCCTCCAGGATCCCTGCACAGAATACCAGCTTTTGAATCAGATTGCAGAGGCCGCTCCTCATGTGGTGGGGTCCCCTCTACCCTTTGGACACATCAGGGTCTCCCTGGGCTGGCTCAACAAAATAGCTCTGCATCTGTCGCTTGGTGAAGGCTAGGGCTGAGCCCTATCCTGGGGGGTCACTGTCCTGCTGACTCACTGACCTGGAGAGTCATGACAGAGCCTCACACAGGTCACCATGAGGTCACCAGGAAGACTCTCCCTGTCTCCATCCCCAGGAGCGATTTGAGACTTGACCTTGGCATTGAAAGCCCAGCTCTATGATCTGGCTCTCTAAGTCTCATTTGCTCTTTCATGAAGCAGGGTGTTATCCACCCAGGGATGGAGACTGCACCTCCGGGTGGCCCAGAACTCATCTTGCTAAGCACCAGGTGTGGGGTAAGATACATCTTACTTTGTGCATCTTACATTGTGCACCTGGGAGTTCCTGTCCTCCCAACTGTATTTCAAATCTCTTGAGGTACAGGCAGCTAAATTGCCTGGTTATTGTAGCAACTATCTGCAGACAGCCTTGGCTCTCCTGTCTTGGGAAACAGCTCACTCATGTTGCTCTAAATCAAGATGACAATCACAGAATGACCCTCATTGTATCCCCAGGATAAACTCAAAAGACACTGCATGCCAGGGTGACATCTTTAAAAAGCTTTTCTTCCCTGGAAGTGGACCAAAGGGCTGTAGACAGGCCCCAGCCCCTCCTCACCATGTGTAGGATTTCAAGAGTTCTTGGGGAAATGCAATGTGGACTCCTCTGTGGCTATCAAACTTTCCCCAACCTATGCTGGGCTACCCATCCCCACTTGGTGGAGCACCAGTTGTGAGCAGAGGCCAGTGGGAGTGTCCAGTCCATCATCCATCGAAGGTCACCTTCCCACCAGTCCCCTTCCCAGGCAGACCTCATCCGCCCTCACCTTTGGCGGGGACTTCGGGGGGCACATCCACCTTCTCCTTCCGCCTCTTGCCCTTCTTTGGCTGCAGTGGGGCCAAACTGGTCATGCTAGTGACAGTCTCCCCAGAGCTGTAGAAGAAAAAGGCCTCAGTAAAGCTGAAGTCTGGTTTGTTGCAAAGCAGAAAAGGTCAGGAACCCCTCGGTTCTGAGAGCTCCTGCAGCTGTGTGAGGAGGGCTGTCCCACAGCAGGGTGGGGTGGCTTTACTCTGGTCTCCAGGGACCCAGCCTTGGCCAAGATAAGGGTGATGAGATGAGCCTGTCTGTGATTTATGAGGTGCTATTTAAAGTTCAAGGTTCCCTGGAGGAACCTGGAGCCAGCTTGTCAACATTACTTAGGGTTGTATGGGTGGACGCCTTATCCGGCTTAATGGGTCACATCAGCTGGCTTGGCTGGGTACTGCAGGATATTAAAGAAGCCTCTAGAAACTTCTACTTGAGCTCTGTTAAATCCGAGATTCCTGCCCATGTCTTTGTGGCTCACAATTCAGACACAAAGCACCTGTCAGCACTGAGGGAGGCCTGGAGGGTTGCGCCTGGACATCCAGTGTCCCTGTGCTTGCTGGTGCTTCTGCTGGACAGATGAAGTGAGTTCACCCTAAGAAGGCTGTGTTCCCACTCAGCCACCCCTGGGGACCCAATCCCTGCAGTTATGAGTGTCTTTCCACTTTATTCATGCTAATCCCCAGTGCTGGGGTGACAAGCCTTTGATGAGAGAAGGCGGCACAGGAGTACAGATGCCGGTGGCACTCTGAGCGGCACTGTCCACGAAGAGCAAACACAGAAGCCACCCCTGTGCTTGGCCCTCTAGGTGTGATGTGTCCATAGACCTCCTCCAAGGGCTGGTTTTGTCCCAAAGCTCCTTGGCCCCACCACCCAGAGGGTGGTCCATTGGAGCTCCTGTCCTCAGGCACGGGTTCCAGCTAGGGGTGTGTGGCTGCTAAGGAGGCTCCCTCCCCAACCCATGAAGGAGACACTCTCAAAATCCACAAGAACATGGTCAATTGTCCAGCACCCAGTGAACAAAGGCATCCACAGGGGCTCCCGCCCTGAGGGAAAAGGCTCTATTCATGTAAAACATGCTAACACTCCCCCGGGGAGAGGAGTCCAGTCTGACAGGGACTGCATTGCTGCATTCCCAGAACACGACAGCCACGATCAGAGACACAGCAGCCTTTGCCCAGAGCTCGGGGCTGGGAAGGCAAACCCTTCCTGTGGAGCGCACTTCAGCAGCATCTGGCAAAAACACAGAGGCTCAGACAGCTCCTCTTGGAGGACTTCATTGTGTGGATATCCGTGCACGTGTGTGAAATGATGCATGCATGCGGTGTAAGATGAGGTGTCACTGCTCTATTTCTTTTGTTGCTTGTTTGGGGGAATTTTTTGTTTTGTTTTTTGATACTGGGTATTAAAACCAAGGCCTTCACTCTCAGCTCCATCTCCAGCTCTTTTTATTTTTTATTTTGAGGCAGGGTCTCCATGAGTCACTAAGTTGCCCAAGCCAGTCTTGAACGTGTGATTCTCCTGCCTCAGCCTCCCAGAGTGCTGGGATTACCTGTGTGTGCCACCACATCTGTTTCCCACACTGTTTAGAAAAACACTAGATTAGAAACAGCCCAACCGCTAATTATCTGGGGACTGGTGAGCAGGTCATGGAGAATCTATAGGTGGGGTCTCTGTAGCTAGGAAAGGAAGACAGAACAATTTGTGCCCAAATGAGGAAAGATACATTGTTGAGTGAAAAAGCTGGGTATTGGACACTGTGTGTAATGTCCTGGTCTTTGCATAAATATACGGCAAAATAATAACATGTTAGAATTCACTTGTGTATGGATAAAAAAATCTCTAGAAATAGTCACAAGAATTTAACAATCATAGTTCCCAAGAATGGGGGAGTTGAGAGCCTGAACAGATGTGAGACAAGACAGAGAAAATTATTGCTGGATCTCTTTATAATTAAAGATAAATGAATATATACATATACTTAATAAGAGAGGCTATTCTAATAACAGTCCTGTATATTTAAAAATAAATAAATGAAGACTGAATCATACAAGTGGGAAAAATTCCAAGAATACAGTTCCCATTGAGATGCCCCAAGGACGGCTTATTTTCTTTGGGAACAGAAACGCTAACTGGTCCTTGCTTCAGAATACGGGGAAGCTGTGTAAATTCACCAATAGCCAAGAGGAATGCAGGTTTACAAAACGCTGGCCACTAAGAGCAAGCAAGGGATTAGAAACTCTCAGAATTGCTTAAATATACAGACATGTGTACAGCATGGTTCTGGAGCTTTTTAAACTCTCAAAATGTTTATTTTTTCTTTCCAATATAAAATAACACAGTTTATGTTTTAAAATCATAATGACAGGCATAAAGATGAAAGGAAACAAGTCTACCAGGACTAAAACACTACCTTTAGTAAATATTTCCAAAACTCTTTCCTCTTACTTGCTTTTTTTAAAAAATGAACTTTATTTTTTAAGAGCAGTTTTAGATTCAAATCTGAGCAGAAGGCACAGAGGCCCATCTGCCCCTCCTGCCCATGCCCTCCCCCCAACCTCCACTCCCCACCAGAGCGGGAACTGCTGAGCCTGCACTGACCTATCACCCAGAATCTGCACACTGCCCGGCTGGTGCAAGGACCTGTGTCCAGAATCAGAGCATCCTACAGTGTCCTTTCGCTGACTTAAAACTCCTCTGTGACCTGCCTATGTGTCCCTCTGTCCTTTCAATCCTTGAAACCACTGACCTTTACTGCCTCCATAGTGTTGCCTTTCCTAGACTGGCACAGAGGTGGTATCCTACATCCATAGCCTTTCCAGATTAACCGGCTTCTTCCACTAAGTAACATGCATTTAAAGTTCCTCCAAGTCACTCGCAGCTTGATGGCCCATTTCTGATTAGTGCTGAGTGCTGAATAATATTCCATTGCCTGGATGTACCACAGTTTGTCCATCACCTACTAAAGACATCTTGGTTGTTTCCTAGTTTGGGCAATTATGAATGAAGCTGTCATCAACATCCATGTGCAGGTTTTTGTATGGCTAGAAGTTTTTAACTCTTCCTTGTTTTATATATTATTTTTAAAAAATCATACTAAATTCTGCATCCTTCTATTTACTTAATCTACATTTTCATATTCCATTCTCTTACTATTCCAGTGAGAAGATAAGCCACAGTTTATTTAGCCATGCCCTGACACCTAAACACCTAATTTGTTTTCCACTTCCACACATACAAAACCACACACATTTGTTTTCCATTCTGAGACTTTCATTTTAAGTTGGGTTATGAGAGCTGGAATTACCATGTCACAGAGGGGGACCACCTTAAAGGGTACTTAATACCCACTGTCAAAACTATTGCCAACAAGTTACTACTCCTTTACTCAAGGCAATGAGCAAAACTACCTACCATAGCACTCTCTGAACACCAAGTTTATCGGTTTAAGAAATTACTCATTTTATAAAGAAAAATGTGATCCTCTCATTCCTTGCCTTTTCTGATTGTTAGTGCAGGCAAACAAAATTTACTGTGTTGGTCTGGAGTGTTTTCTCATTCAAAATGTTTCCACTTTTATTTACATAGGATTCTGTGTTTTTCTTGTAGATTTGCATGAACCTCTACATCAGTCTGACATAATTACCGCAAATATTTTCTCCAAAGCTTTTTGAATTCTGCTTTTCGTTAAATGCATAATTTTTCTTTGTTTTTGCTGAAATCTTGATATTTTCCTTTTTTTCTGTGGCCTCTGAGATTGGATAATCTCACCAACTGCACCTGACACATTGCACATTCAAATAAGATTTCTATTTTCTCTTGTCTTTTCTTGGATTTAATTCTTTAGCTCTTTCACAGAAAATGGAAGTTGCTGGAACATGATTTAGGAGAGCTGAAAAAGATCTGTTTCATTATCACTGCTTTCCTTTCAAACAGCAAGACCACTGAACTAAATTTAGTTCTAATTCCTAGTTGCACAGTGAGGCCTCTTATAGAGAGGGTCATGGTGACACAGGGCAGATGTTTCTCATGGAATCTCCTTCCTCCCACTGCTCAGCGGAGCTGGCAGGACTGTGACTAAGAAAGCTCACCTGACAATTCACTTACTAGAAAAGCCACCTGCATCTCAGGTTGGAATGGGGCTGGTACCACAGCGGGTGTTGCTGGTGCCAGGCCTGGGAACTCCCTGGAAATGGGGAGTGGGGGCTGTGCCACCAGAGAGGAGCTGTTTGTGGGAATGTGTTGTCCAGTGGGGCTGTTTCTGGCTGACCAGGGCCTGGCAGGGGGTGGCAAGCATGGGGCCCTGGGGACATGGACACAGTTCTCAGAGTCCCCATGCAAAGCCAGGGCACCTCTGCTGCTTCCCCAGGCAGCTGGATTAGTGAAGAGCACTGGCCCAGGGTAGCAGGCCCGCCCTGGAGCTGGCCCAACTATGCTGGCTTGGGCAATGTCCCACCCTGATCTGTAAAATAGGTTGACCAACCCTGGCTAACAATCTCACAGGGTCACAACACAGGTCAGATGAGACAGCATCGTATAAACAAGACAGCAGGAAATGGCTAACTAGCACCTAGCTCCAGCGTCCAGTGCGTGGGCACAATGTGAGCCTTCCACAGTGCACCTCTGCCGGCACGCTGTTGCTGCTTGGGCATCTCAAGCCAAAGGAAAGAGATGCCAGCCCCCACCGGAGCCATGACCAGAAGACCTTGTGCCGGGGGCACACAGCAGGTCCTGCCCTGCCACGTGCTTCCCATGAGTGCAGAACACCAGCAGTTCAGGGCAGACCAGACAGGCCATAAGGGCAGAGGCTGCACCCTGAGCAGTGGATCCCTGCCCAGCACAGCAGGCACAACAGACAATCTGGATTTTGCAAGGCACTGCACAAATTCTGAGCACTGGTGTTTTGTAGAAATCAAAGTCAGCAGTGGTACCCTAACAGCCAAGCTTGTGTCTGCCTGTGTAAGCCACTGTGACAGGGACTGGGTGTCCATAGCCTCCAGCCTCTCCACCATGAGAAAGCGGGACCTCAGAGGGGCCAAAGCTTTCCAAACAGCATTGGCCAGACAGAG